ACAATAATTAAAATAATGCACCAAGCACCAGACATTGCAAATCAAAGAAACCAAATAAATATATTAATTTTGTAGAACATTTATTTATGCATGCAAACACTAATAGTCCATTTTAGGACATTTTTTTCATTTATTTTACTTTTAAATATGACCAGGACTAAGCCAAGATCTTATGGGCCCTTAAGCAGAATATGATTTAAAAAACCCTTTCTTTCTGTCAAGAATATCACCACCGTTACCAGGGTATCAGTACTGATTTGATGGAATCTGGGAGAGGCGACTAAATTCAACTAGCCTAAAAGTAATCAGTAATCAGATTTATTATTTGCACTTTTACAAAGTGAACTTGCTAACTCCCTTAAAATCTAAATTTAAATGCTAAAAAATTGAAAATCTTTTATCTTTGGACCCCCTGCAGCGTGACGTCACACCTGCAAGATCCTGCCCCTACCTTCCAGCTAGACTGCAAAAAGCAGCTTGCTCATGAGATGTCAACATAAAGTGCTAAATCTTAAATGTACATGGACATATAAAAGAAAGGGGCACAGTGATTGCTACCAATTGTCAATACTATGACAACTGGATAACAAGGTCAGGAAAAAGTTTTAATTAGAGAAAAAAATAGCGAGGGAGAAGTAAATAGTCAATTATTTACTTCTGTTTCAGTTAATTAAAAAAATAAATAAAGCAAGGCGACCTAAACACCAACTCTGACAGACCATCAGTAGAGCAGGTGTTGAAATTAGCTAATCTACCAACACTGTGATAGCAATAGATAGCTGATATACCACAGCCATCACTTAATAATCACAAAATAAACAATCTAAAAACGGAAAACTGTAATGGACTGAAAGTTCTGTTTTTTTTATGAGGGAAATTATTTTTGTGTCTTTTAGTGTAATCCAGATATATATGCATTGTTGTCTGTTGCTATGGCAACGATACTGTATATAGCGTAGCCAACATAGACAGCAAAAATAGTGGTTGGAGTCATTTTTCAACGGTTCAGAGTTATATTTTAAATAATGTATTCACTGCTTTTTACTCTATTGTCTGTGCTTTTACTACTTTAAGTCTCTCCTGGCTAAAATTAGGTCCTAATATTTCCACAAGTCTCTCTTCTCACTTGCGAGTCTGAGTCCACAGCTGTCCCTGAATTGGTTGGCATGCTTGTGCCCTGCTGAATGACACATGTACCACAATAGAACCTTAAAATATCCTTTATCTCACACATCTCATCGAGAATATTTTCACAACACTGTTTGCTTTTTACCTGTAAACCAGGGGTCCCCACATAACTTTTCCCTTCTCTGGTGCCCCCCCCTCCCCGAGTCAGTTTGTAACAGAAAAAGTGTGACGTTTGCAGGAGTGCCTAAATGTAAAAATGTATTGTTTTCCAGAACGCACCATCAAATAACCGTCTCTGGGTTCTTCGCAGAACAAAAGTCAGGAAATAAATAATAACACTATTAATTAAATAAATAATAACCAAATAACCCTCTCTGGGTTCTTCAAAGACAAAATCCAGGAAGGATTATTGTCCGTATTTTCCTAACTATGAGCCACACCAGACTATAAACCACAACCCCAAAGTTTTTTTTTTTTAAACCAGTAAACATACACATATAAGCCTCAGATATCTCTGCCGCTCCAGGTTTTCCACAGCGATGCAGCAGAGGGGGGCAGACACCCAAAATTTGAGTCATAACAGGTCAATTGAATATCACATTTATTACGGTTGAAAAAGAAAAAGTTGCCAAGTTTAGATTTAACTGAAATGATTACGGTAGTTTATGAACGGTAACTGTAAAAGTGCTGGTTCGTGTCTGCTACTNGACTCAGAAAATTGTAACAGCAGCTGTGGGGGGGCCCAAACAAACTTTTTGTCAGGGGGCCCAAAATTACTGGCAGCGCCCCTGACTGTATTAGAAATAATTGATACCAAAAGCTGATAAACTTTCCAAAAGAAAGCTGAAATAAAATCTTCCACTTACTTGCAGTTTTCTAATGAATTTCTGTTTTTTCTTCATCAGGGTCAAAGGTTTCCTCAGCTGCCACCAGAGGAAGTCCATCAGAGCAGCAGTCAGTTTACTCTTCAGTCGCCTTTAAAACTTAAATTAGTTATTTTATGGAGCTAATCTCAGCTCAGACTGTTGGTTCTTTTAGTCAATGCTAAAAGAGTCGCTGACATTTTGTCATAACTTAAAATGGACAAATACAACAAAGCAATAATAAACATGACACCTTAAAAACGTTATCTGTGTTTATGTTGTTTATGGAAATTTAAAACATGTTTTTAGGACTTATTATCTTTCTCTTTGAGACTTTTGCATGTAGTATTTTCTATTTTTAAGATGTTCTTGCCTCTTTTGTGGTCACGTCTTTCTGATTTTCATCAGAGCAAAGCAGCTACTGCTTTTTAAATAAACTCACTGTGATGGTCTTTACTTTAACATCTCACTATTATTACACTACATGTGTTTAAAATTAGATAAACTAACAATACCTGACAGCATCTTCATAGATCTATCAACAGACCTCTGCACTGAGTTTCTAACACACAAGGAATCTAAACATGAATAACAACAACAATAAAGACAAACTAAACAAACTGAGAACATGGCTGAAATAACAAGAAAGGACTTAAAAAAAACATGAAAACCTGATCTCTGCAGAAGATCCGATTCTTTACTTCTTTGTTTGCTGCTGCATGATGACAGATTTATTGTTCTGTGTCAAACTCATCAGTTGTTTTAGTTTCATGTCAAACTCACATATTTGAAGTCAAAAGCTTTTATCTGGACATCCTGATACGTTTAGAGAGTTTATATAAATATTAACACCTTCATGTCTTCACTCTGAATCAGACTGAGGTCAGTCTGGTCTCTGCAGTCATGAATCACATTCAGAGCTGAGATAATCTAAACCCTGTCAAATAAAACTATCATGTTAAACTAGCGCCATCTGGTGTCCAAACACCAAAAGATGAATCTACATCCTTCAGTTCATATTTGCCCTTCAGGAGAAGTTTTTCAGTTCATTGAGTTTAAAAAACCTCAAACCATCATTAAGTGAAATAAATTAAGTTCATCCCCCAATGCTGTTGTCATGACAACAAAAAATACTTTGAGCTAAATGTGCAACATGAGAAGATGTTTAATCTACTTTTATCAAAATCCTGCAAACAAGAGCGGCAGTTTTACTGCCTTTCATATTTTCATACAGAATGAAAAATAATTAATGGCAGAAATAATTTTTGGTTGGGCTTTCAAATGTAAAGAGTTACACCTTGGTGTTGGGTTTTTGTCATTTTTTGTTTTTGTCATGCTTGTGTCTCAGCCCTCAGTTTGTCTTGGCAGATTGCTGCTCATGATGGTCCAGACGATGCAGAAACCTTGGCACACGCGCAGAGCAAGCAAGACAAAACCCTGTGTCAGTGTCCGTATCACTTTAAGGAGAACCACGTGACCGACACAGTTCCTGTGTCGTTTGGTTATTAACGCGCCAAATTGTATTGAGGGAGAAACTGTGTCGACATGTTTGTGGGTTTTGTTGGATGGAGATACTTTTTCTTTGCTTTGCGTTGGTTTTTGGTTCGTATATTTAACTACCGGCATGAATCAACAGAGGAAGAGGAAGTTTTCTCCCGTGTGGGATCAATTTGATCTTATAATGGAAAATAATTATTCCATTCTTATTTCCACTTTTGATCATTTTTCTTTCGGGTTATTCAAACTCCTTTCCATGGAACATTTCAGTTAGTTTACATGGATTAACTTTTATTACGTGAAAAATGTAGGATTTGCTCCCAGGTTTTGTCTTACTGTAACCAGAGCTCTTCCACAATAATGAGGCATCAACGTGTCCAACATGAGGGAGATGAACCTGTTAACACTCCTGTCTTTATTGAAGTTGATTGCAATGACTTTCTAAATCCACCAGATGTCGTTTGGGGAATGTGTCAAACACCCAGTCAGGCCTCACCTGCCCATCACTAGCTCATACTAAGTCTGGTTAAGTAGGAGTTGTTCCTCTCCACTGTTGCCACATGCTTGTACAAGAGGAAATGGAATGGTTGGATGTTTTTAGGTGGATAATTTTTTTATTACTTTCCAATGAATGTGCTGTTTTGTTTGATTACATGCATTACATTTGAACTGGATTGATGTAAAAAAGGGAAACCTAAACTGGATAAGTACCTTGAGATTATATTTGTGTATAGTGAAAAATGAGTAAAAGGATTCCTGATAAACAAGCTTTAGGATAATGGCAAACCAACCGGACATTGTGGTGGTGGATAAACAAAAGAGGACAGCAGCAGATTGAGTTTTTTTTTTTTTTTCATAACCTCTTTAAGTTAAAATTTAGTTTATATTTTCTGTCATTAGAATTTATGATTAACTTGACTGGTGTTGGGCTAACGAGAAGAAATTAAATATATAACCGTCCCTAATAATTTTCTTTTGCATAACAAAAACACGTCTACAAACTGATGTGAATGAACTTAAATGACAAACCAGTGTTCCTGCAACACTGAATGGAAATCAATGCAATGTGTATTAATGACCACTAGAGGGCAGAAAAGACTGAACCATAAGAAGCCAGAGGCAGTAAATATGCTGCATATATTCAGTAGAACTAATACTTCATACCAACCCGTAGGGGGCGACAAAACACCGCCTTCTAGTTGTCAGATATTTATTAAAGGTCCAGTTAACAGTTGCATAAGTTATAAATAAAGAATATTTGGGAGATTAACATACCTACATACAATTAGACCACTCTGTAAAAAAGAAAAAATTCCAAACTGTGACAAATAAGTCTAGATGAAGACCGAGGTTATGTACAGATAGGAAGACTGTAGACTAATTTTTAGCATACAGTTGACTACCCAGTAATGAACTCTCTTCATATTTTTGTTAACACAAATATTAAGTTCTGTTGCAGATCCATAACAGAACCTGAGTGTCTGTGTTTAACATCATTGTCTCAGTATTTCTCCCTGTGTCTCTGCTGCTCTGTGTAAGTCAAACAGGAAGAGGAAGTTCTGCGCTGCATATGATCTGGGTTTACATGTGAGACACGTTCAGTCAGCATCAAGCATCAGTCATGGAGGTCACAGCTCTCTGCATGCAAATCTGTGAGTAAAGATATATTATTTATTTCTTTCTGACATATATCTATATTTTGAGTTTGGATCTGAAGCTTTTCTCATGTTTCTACAGTCATGAACATGTTTGTGTTGCTGTTGACAAAACCTGATCTGAGTTACACTGATCAGAAACCCGGTGAGTTGGAAACTGATTTGGTTTATGCATTTATTTAGAGAAAAAAATAGATTTAATTCTGATTATTTTTAAACTGCTTACAAACAAATCTAACACCAATCTCAAAATCATGGTTATGTCAACTTTATCACCAGCTGATGAAAAATAAGTTTTAATTGTTTGTCATGGATTTATGTTAAAGTTCATCAATTAATTTCTGTGTTTTTATCATTGCAGTTTTTCCTCTTATCTCTCCAGACAGACTTCAGTTCTTTGAGTATGAGTCTGTCTCTGTAAGCTGTGAGGAAGACAAAGAAGTGAAAGCTTGGAGAGTGAGGAGAAAACTTCACAAAATGAGTTCAGCAAATGATTCTGACGCCTGCAGCGTCCCAGCTGCATCCTGCAGCATCCAGTACGCTTTTGAGAGGCACAGTGGAGAATACTGGTGTGAAAACCATGAAGGGGAAAAGAGCCGGGCTCTCAACATCTCTGTTACAGGTCTGAATGTTCAATTGTCTTCAGAAGCTTGTAAGATTTTAAAAAAGCTTTGTTAAAATGCAAAGAGTTTTAGATGTTAAGAAAATAAGAACAATGTGACCTTTAACCTTCCCGTTGCAACTCAGATCTTTTAGGAGGCAGAATAAAGAGTAAAATGTGTTTGCATTGGTTTAAACCGATATGCTGATAAACCACATCTTGTTTTTATTAAACTGAATATTTTAAATAGCAAAACATGCCAACCTTTCTTTGCAAAAACTTCTTAAATCTGTCAGACAGGTCTACATATGTTTTGTGGACTTGGAGAAGGCGTTTGACCGTGTCCGTAGGAGGGATTTGTGGGGGTTCTCTGGGAGTATGGGCCACCGGGCCCTTTGATACGGGCTGTCAGGTCCCTGTACGACCGGTGTCTGAGTCTACTCCGCATTGCCGGCAGTAAGTTGGGCTTGTTTCTGGTGAGAGTTGGACTCGGCCAAGGCTGTCCTTTCTCACCAAACCTGTTCATTACTTTCATGGAAGGAATCTCTAGACCAGCCGACGTGTTGAGGGGATCCATTTTGGTGGCCTTAGGATCACATCTCTGCTTTTTGTGGATGGTGTGGTCCTGTTGGTCCCCGACCATCGGTCCGTGGACCAATTGGTACCGGGCCGCGCAAGAAATAATTAAATGTTCCCGTTTTATGTATTATTTGAGTCTGGAGGATCTTTTATTTTGAAAATCCTTTAACCAGATTCTCTCGGTTACTTGCGCGCCAACACTGAGCCCACAAGCAGCAAAATGAGTAAGAAACAGATCAGATGTCTTTGGAAAGTTTCTTTGCAAAGGGAAAAAGGCCCAGAGAAGAGACAGGAGGATGGATTTATCCCGGACCGGTATCCCGGTCTGCGTAACATGTGGCAACTACGAGTTGCACCAATTAGTCAACTAGTCGATTCTTTTCTCTGCGATGACTTTTTTCTGGGCCAGTCGACTATTTGCAATCAAATGATAAAACAGATTTTTCCAAGGAAATGAAAGAAGGTGAAATAGGTGAGTTCGTCAGAAAGTTCAAATTGTATAAAAATGTAAATAATTTAACAAAGAGAGACTGTAATAACCAAATAACCCTCTCTGGGTTCTTCACAGAAAAAATCCAGGAAGGATTATAGTCTGTATTTTCCTAACTATGAGCCGCCCTGGACTATAAGCCACAACCCCAAAGTTGTTTTTTTTAAACCAGTAAACATTCACATATAAGCCTCAGATATCTCTGCTGCTCCTGGTTTCCCACAGCGATGCAGCAGCAGCAGAGGGAAGCGGACAGCCAACATTTGAGTCATAACAGCTCGATTGAATATGACATTTAAATTACGTTGGAAAAAAAAAAAAAGTTGCCAAGTTTAGATTTAACTGAACTGATTACGGTAGTTTCTGAACGGTAACTGTAACAATAAAAGTGCTGATCCTTCGTGTTGCTACTAGCATGAGCTAAATGAAATGGGCGCTTTCTTCTTCTTCTTTAGATTTCAACAGCAGCTTGAATCCATTATTGTTGCACTACTGCCATCTATTGGATCCTAATATCTATTCCTCAAATTCTCATAATGATCCCAGTATTATTTTAAAAAACTGAAAAATCTTCTTTTTCCCCTCAATGCAGAGAATATTACAACATTCTCAAATTTCAATTCCCTATTAAAACCTAATTCCGTTTTAATGGGCGCCTTCTTCTTTTATTTCCAATTTTGACTTCCAATGATTCACTTTGTAATGGTCTCGCTATGGTGTCTGGTACCAAAACTAACCATCAGCCAAACTCCTTTCACACGAGTCAGGATTAATTAGTTCTTCCTTTATTTCCATGTAGAATGGAGTGAAACTGTCAAAACACAAACAACTCAGGATGAGCTCAGAGCAGCTAACATGTTTTACATTCAGTTACATACATTAGAAGTACAACTGATACAACAGCTACCTCAGAATGCTATGAGCTGCAATGCTACGTAACGACCTGAGAAATCTTAGCAGCCTGCTAGTTGGCAATGACGTAGCACATAATCAAATCGCCCGCAGGTATTTCCAAAACTAATTCAATAAACAAGCTACTACTTTTATCATATGTTGACATAAAGGCTCGTTTTGAAGTATAAGCTGCTCCTTGCAGGCATTGCTTCGAAGAACTCGACCTGGAATGCGGCGTTCATAACAGACACGTGCTCTACCGCTAGCAAACAACCATACTGATTAAATAACATAAAAGTCAAGCAGTTCCCTAAAAGTCCAACAGATGGCAGCAATGGGCCATGCAAAACAAAACACCCACAGTTTACAGGACAAATTTCCGGCTAAAGAGCCCCCTGGTGGTTGAAGAAAAATCCACATATAAACCGGAAAATACAATTTAAGAAAAAAAATCTGAATGCTCTCTGGTATTGTTCAGGGGGCCGGACCAAATGTGGAGGCGGGCCGGATCAGGCCCGCGGGCCGTAGTTTGGGGACCCCTGACGTAACAAAAAGAAAAGCGGTGGATAAAAGACGACGGAGCAGCCGCTCTATTTGCTGCACTATGATTTGGAGGCGACTATGTTTTTTCATAGTTAACATTTTAACTGAAAAAACATAATAATGACCTTTACATATAATAATAAACATTTCCACATATTATCTCCGATATCCACCGGACTCTCAGTTGCGCGATATGTCAGCTGTTTGGGATTCCCCTCTGTTCTTACGTCACCGCGCTTTCTGATTCAGCAGGTTGTATTCTCGTTCCCAGTCAGGGTAAACCCCACAGGCTGAGATAAAAGGGCCAAGACGACCCAAATTGGGTATATTCAGTATTTAGTGGGAACACCAACATGCAGAAGCCTTATCTGACGGTTCACCCCCCTACCTCCGGGCCTCAGCAAAATTTCCAAGTCTTGACCGGTCCACGGTAATAAAAAGGTTGGGGACCACTGATGTTGGCTTCATCAGAACATGATCTGCAGCTCTTGCTGGAGCAGTTCGCAGCTGAGTGTGAAGCAGCCGGGATGAGGCTCAGTGCCTCCAAATCCGAGGCCAAGGTCTTGAGCTGGAAAAGGGTAGAGAGCCTTCTCTGGGTCAGGGGGGTCGTCCTGCCTCAAGTGGAGGAGTTTAAGTATCTGGGGATCTTGTTCATGAATGAGGGAAGAAGGGAGCGGGAGATCGACAGGCGGATTGGGGCAGCGTCTGCCGTGAAGCGGGCGCTGTACCGGTCCGTCGTGGTGAAGAGAGAGCTGAGTCAAAAAGCAAAGCTCTCGATTTACTGGTTGATCTACGTTCCCACCCTCATCTATGGTCATGAGCTTTGGGTCATGACTTAAAGAACGAGATCACGGATACAAGCGGCAGAAATGGGTTTCCTCCGCAGGGTGGCTGGGCTCTCCCTTAGAGAGAGAAGCTCGCTCACCCAGGAGGGACTCAGAGTAGAGCTGCTGCTCCTCCATGTCGAGAGGAGCCAGTTGAGGCTCAGGCATCTGGTCAGGATGCCTCCTGGACGCCTCCCTGGTGAGGAGTTCATGTCCCACCAGGAGGAGGGGAGACCCAGGACACGCTGGAGGGACGATGTCTCTCTGTGGGCCTGGGAACGACTTGGGGTTCCTGGAGGAGCTGGAAGAGGCTGGAGAGGGAAGTCTGGGCCTCCCTTCTGAAGCTGCTGCCCCAGCAGCTGAAGTTCCTCTTTATATCCAGTTTTCTTCCAGATGCCTGAATATTATGTGACATTTGCTTTTATTTGGAAATGATCATGATTCCCTCTGCTGTAAATTAGATCCACGTCTAAGTTTAGACTTGAAAATATAGTTTTTTATCATCATCATGATCAATCTGTACATAATGTTCTTTTAATAATGTGAAATCCTGCTTTAGTGTCAAACTGATATTTTGTAAATCGTGGGAAACACCTGGAGATTCTGAAGAGTTTCATAAATGTAGCCGACCTTGTTTATCTTAAATCCTGCTTCATAGCTCAGACTTATGACGATTTCACATATTTCAAAGCCTGATGTAATGTTCTGCGCAATTCACGTTCAGTTATAACATGATGCCCATCTTAATGCAATCATTTTTAAAAATAATTGTTGTTTTTCTCTCTTAAAATGTAATTTTATTATTAAGTTTTGCAGGTTGTAGGCGTAGAAACCAGGCAGTATGAAAAGGTTGTGTAAACGTTTCATGTACAAATATTAACAAATATGTTTCAACTATGTAAAAATTCTATTGTAGCACAGAAACAGCAGAGCAACATGTTGAACCGTTTCTCTTCCACCAGCTGGTTCAGTGATCCTCAATATTTCTGCTCGACCAGTGAAGGAAGGATCTGATGTGACTCTTCGTTGTTTTAACAAGAACACAAAGAAGACACACATAAGTGATTTTTACAAAGATGGCGTCCATCTCAGCACCAACTATAAAACCGGTATGACCCTCGGAAACGTCTCCAAGTCAGATGAAGGACTCTATAAATGCACCATTTCCAGAGCTGGAGAGTCTCCTGNTAAAGCTTTTGCTAGTGTAATAATTAAATCATTATGACTACTATTATGACAAATTTATGTTAGATCATGATTTCTTGGTTAATGACAAGTTGTCATAACGAAGACATTTTGTCCAGATTATGACAAGTTGTCATAATGAAGACATTTCGAATAATGTCAACTTTGTGTTAAAAGTGTCATTATTTACCAAATGACGCTTTATGACAACAGTCATAACTATTCATGAAGACTTATTGATGTTCATGACAGGTGTTATGTCATGTTTATGACAGTGTCATGACAGTCTTATTCAACCCCCTTCAAATAAAGTGTTACCCCTTCTTTTTCTTCTTTAGATTTCAACAGCAGCTTGCATCCATTATTGTTGCACTACTGCCATCTACTGGATCCTAATATCTATACCTCAAATTCTCATAATGATCCCAGTATTAAAAAACTGTTAAATAGCGTCTCTCCTCAATGCTATTTAACTGATCAACAACATTCTCAAATTTCAATTCCCTATTAAAACCTAATTCCGTTTTAATGGGCGCCTTCTTCTTTTATTTCCAATTTTGACTTCCAATGATTCACTTTGTAATGGTCTCGCTATGGTGCCTTGTACCAAAACTAACCATCAGCCAAACTCCTTTCACACGAGTCAGGATTAATTAGTTCTTCCTTTATTTCCATGTAGAATGGAGTGAAACTGTCAAAACACAAACAACTCAGGATGAGCTCAGAGCAGCTTACGTGTTTTACATTCAGTTACATACATTAGAAGTACAACTGATACAACAGCTACCTCAGAATGCTATGAGCTGCAATGCTACGTAACGACCTGAGAAATCTTAGCAGCCTGCTAGTTGGCAATGACGTAGCACATAATCAAATCGCCCGCAGGTATTTCTAAAACTAATTCAATAAACAAGTTACTTCTTTTATCATATGTTAACATAAAGTCTCGTTTTGAAGTATAAGCTGCTACTTACAGGCATTGCTTCGAAGAACTCGACCTGGAATGCGGCGTTCATAACAGACACGTGTGTTCATCTGCTCTACCGCTAGCAAACAACCGTACTGATAAATAACATAAAAGTCAAGCAGTTCCCTAAAAGTCCAACAGATGGCAGCAATGCGCCATGCAAAACAAAACACCCACAGTTAACAGGACACACTTCCTGCTAAAGAGCCCCCTGGTGGTTGAAGAAAAATCCACATATAAACCAGAAAATACAATTTAAGAAAAAAAAAAAATCTGAATGCTCTCTGGTATTGTTCAGTGGGCCGGACCAAATGTGGAGGCGGGCCGGATCCGGCCCGCGGGCCGGAGTTTGGGGACCCCTGCTGTAAACCCATGGCAACTTCCTCTGAGGAACCAATCTGAATTGTATTTGTTGCCTAGTAGTAATAAAAAGAGCCTGCATTAAATGCTACTGTCATGTTTTGTTACTCATTTTAATTCACCCAATACATTTACTCATTGCTGTTTGGTAAAAATTCTCCGGATGTCAGGTAGCTTTTCTGGTGGCATTTTTTGCCAACCCTGAGTCCTTGAACTTTGTAAATTAAAGCAAAACACGACGTAGCTTTTAAAAAAGCTATCACTGTAAAACCATTAGCTACTAGTTAAATTTGATGAACACTGCTGCGTTGCTATCTCTTCTCCTGTCTTTCACATCTCAAATTGAATGTCAAATCCAATCACGGTGGGAGTAACAGTAACAAGAGTTTTTTGGAGGGAACGACACATAAATTAAGAAACGTACAAAATATTGGTAGGGACTGTCCCCTTCAGGGTCAAGGTTGGTCCGGACCTCCTGAGTCATCAAGACTTGCAGCCACATTTCCAGCTGCCAGTCTTCATGGGTTTGTCTCTACCAGCTTTGCTCATCTAGTGACTGAAATTTTTGCACCTTCTTTGCAAAATAGCTTAAGTTCAGTCACTCTGTGGAGAGCGTTTCGTGATCTTGCCACAGACTCTCGATTGGGTTGAGGTCTGGACTTTGACTGGGCCATTCTAACACATGAATATGTTTTGCTTGAAACATTGTAGCCTGTCTTTATGTTTAGGGTGAATGTCCTGCTGGAAGCTGAAGCTCCGCCCCGGTCTCATGTCTGTTGCAGACTCCATTGTCCTGTATTTGACTCCATCCATCTTCATATCAACTCTGACCGTCTTCCCTGAAGCAACCTCAGAGCATGATGCTGCCACCACCATGTTTGACAGTGGGGATGGTGTGTTCAGAGTGATAGGCAGCGTTAGTTCTCCTCCACACATAGCGTTTTGCACTTTGGCCAAAAAGTTGAATTTTCTTCTGGTCTGAACAAAGCTTATTCTTCCACATGTTTGTTGTGTCCAGCATGGCTCCTGGACCATGCTGGACACAACATGATCCAGGGGTTCTTATGGTTTGTACAGTGATGACTAATAGTTGTCCTGTGGACAGATTCCTCCTCTGAGCTGTGGATCTCTGCCTTTGGTCCAGAGTCACCATGGGCATCTTGTGTCATGATTTGAGGTGAGGGTGATGAGGAGAAATGCAGACGAGATATAAAGATGATTTAATGAATAACACTCGGAACTAAACTCCAGAACTCGGGGAGAACGGACTGCAGATCACAAACGGCGACTGACAAGGAGACACAACGAGGACCCGACAAGAGACAAAGACGACAGGTGGGTTTAAATACATGAGGTTAATCAGGGAACGAGAAACACCTGGGAACAATCAGGACAGGATGGCACAGAAATTCACAGGGGAACAGAACTAAATAAGCACAGAAAAACCTCAAACTAAATACACAGAAAACACAGATCACCACATCTTGCCTGCATCTCTGATCAGAGCTCTCCTTGTTCAGCTGGAAGTTTAGGTGGACTGCCTTGTCTTGTTAAGTTGTTCCACACTATTTCTGGATTATGGGTTGAACAGAGCTCCGTAAGACATTTAAAGCTTGGGAAATCCTTTTTTATTAGGGGTGCACCGATTGCGGTTTTCTAGCCAATCACCAATTAACGCTCTTTAAAGAGATCAGTAATCTTTATCTGGATTTTGTAATTTTCTTAAGGGTTTCACAAAAATAGGATTACGAAATCCAAGATAAGAGATAAAGCCAGGCATGACATAGCACGATCAGTTCATCCTGACTTTATCTGTTACATATAGATAAAACCAGGCTCAGGAGGTACCGCTATGTAAACCAGGCTTAAAGCTGTAGTAGTATGTAACTTTTTTGAAGATATATTATTTTCATATTTATTAAACATCTCACTATGTCCTGAAAATAGAAGACAAGAAAAGAAAAAAGCTAGTGTGTTTTTGTTCTTTCATTTTTTGTTTCAAACAAAAAAACAACTGCCTGAGTATACATAGACCCAACTAATTGGCCTGAATGGCTAACCTAATATTGTACAAATTAAGTGAATGAAAAATAGCTCTCCAAATTCACCCTCACCTCAGGTCATTATTATTTGATGTTGATGACATGGCAGCACATTATATTTGCAATATTACATAGTCTGCTTTTTTCTGATCATAATATTAATCACCTCTGGCTCTCACTCAATTTCCATACCAAGACTATTATTGTCGACACCCTCTTCACCATCCTTCTTCCATTGGTCTTGGTGACAATTTTCTTTATGAGCTTCAAATGGTCCAGAATTCAGCCAAATTTGTTTTTTCATTTGAACTTATCACCCTAGTTTTACAGCACTTACACTGACTGCCTGCTAAATACAGAAAACTATTTAAGATACTCCTGCATACATCTAATGGTGATCACAATCTTGCAGCTCATTGACAGATCTGCTATACATGGCCACTTCCTTCCACTCCTGTTTAAAGAAAACAATTTAGAAGCAGAAAAGCCTAACTGAGGTGGAAGAAACTCTTAGCCCTCCATATATTTTCAGTTAAATAAAAAGCAATTTCAAACCGTTTCAAACTGGATGCCTCTTATAAACTGATTTCACTTAGAATGAAGGATCCAGTAAGGTTTTGTTAATCTGTTAGGTACCAGGTTGGGTTTTCTTCTTTTTCAGCTCTGACCATCTGAGGGCGCCAGAGACTGTTTTTCCTTGGTGGGTGTGTCAGCAGGCTCCGCGGTACGCACCTGGCTCTAATCGTCATCTAGAGGAGTATTTAAGCGGCAGGCTCCCGCTCTTCACCGCCAGAGTGTTTTACCTATTGTGGTACCTCCAGCCTCCCTACTGTTCGTCTCATTGAGATTGTTTCTAGTTGCCTTAAGAGCTTACCTGTTGTTTTGTGACCTCTTCCAGGACATCTTCAAGTTTTCCCCGGAGAACTCCTGTTGTCGAGCCTAGAGGGAAGTCCCCTCACGACGCTGGGAGCGAGACTCACCGGGAACTGGAGTCCTCTCATATCCCTCTGTTTAAGAGCCCACTGTGCGCCTCCGGCTAGAGTCCGCCCCGAGGACTCCTGGTCTCTCTCTCACTCACGAGTCGTTCCCTTCCTCATCCCTCTCCGAGTCAGCCTCTACGCCTAGCCGCAACCTGGTACCGGAACCTTTCCCCGACCAGAACTCATTATCACAAGTAAGCTTCGAACCCATACAAGTTGCCAGATTTCCTACGGTCATTAAACTCACCTCCACTCTCCCCTGTGTGCAGCTGTGCCAGTCCTCCCACTGCAGCTTCCCGACTGTGGATGTTTTGAACTTTATTGTCAATAAACATCTAAAGTTTCATTCTGCCTCTCTGTGAGTTTCTGCATGTGGGCTCAAAAACTAAAACCCAGCATGACATAATCCATTCATGATAGTACTGCGGAAATTTCAGTTTATGCCATTATAAAAAAAAAAAAACATCTCTGCTTGATTACTAGGGCTGGGGGAAATTATTCTCAGAGTACAGGATATTTTTTTTCTGCGGTACAGACATATAATTGATGCTAATGTATCAATTATAGTATTAAGCATGTATAATGTTGCAACAGGATAATTTTGAATGTTTTGAACCCATCTATTGGGTGATTTTTGTTTGCTGGTTTGTTTGTTTTTCCTCCATTCAAAGATATACAGAAGAGTGCAAAT